AGATGGTTACAGGAGCCCAGGGCCTGGAGTCAACCAGTGGAGGCCAGACTATGGCAGGCTGGCTTCGCAGGACTTAGAACCACGGAGGAACTGCAGCTGCTGTTGGAGCTCCTGCCACAGCAGAGAAGGAAGGGAAAGCCTGTGTGGGCTTCTCCCTTCCTCCTGACCTCCCACCTCACACAGAAGGCAGAAATGATGACTTGCGGGTAGCAGCTTACCTGTGATACGGACAGAGGAGGGGAAAGAGTAGAATGGATCTGAGAGACAGGCCCAGAACTGGTGTGAATGGCAAACCGTCTTCCCCAGAGTCTAGAGATATCAAACTATCATCCAATTCCAGGATAGCTAGAAGGCAATTAGAAAGTTGAACCCAAGAGGAAAGGCAAATAAGGGTACAGTTTTGCTCATTTTTGTTGGCAAAATCTGGAGAATTCATGTGGAAATCTTCGCTGAGGGTGCTAGGCCAAGGAGGGAGCAACAGACTTTCAGACTGTACTGAATATGTTGGGGCCACTATTTTTGGGTCACCTTGATGGTTCCAGGACTTGCTTTCAAGCCTGTGCTTTAGGCTGATTGAACCCTGTTACTGAGGTGTGCCTCGGCTGGTTCTCTCCTGTACACCCTGTGTAGTCTGTCTCACAAATTGGTCATCTTGACCTTCTGTTTTCTCTGCTCTCTAAGAACGCCTAGGCAGAAGCTGGGTTCCCTCTTCCTCTCTGTGCCGCGGCTCAGTGAGTGCCTGCAGGTGCAAAGTCAGGACAACTTCGGAGTTTGCCTTGTTTCCCTTCTCACGGGGATCACCACCCTGTCTGGCCGATTTCCTAATATCTGAAAACAGTTGATTCATATATTTGGTCCAGTTTTATGTGTATTTATATAATCTGCCCTGAAAAAGTCCAGGCACTGTCAATACAACGAGAATGGTTTGTGCTACATCGATGTAATCTGGCAGCCAAGGAGAGTGGACTGGAATGCGCATGTGTGAACAATGATGACTTCACTGTAGTAGTCAGTGGGGTGGTAGACACCGTTGAGTGAGCATGTGTACTGTGTGGCTGTTGCATTTAAAATGACTGAGTAGAGCAACTAGTCTGCATCAAATTTTGTATTATGCTTAACATTCCTCCATGGAAATCATTTGGATGATTCAGAAGACTTTTGGGGACGATGGAATGAGTGCAGTGCAAATAAGAGTGAGGCACAAACGCTTCAAAGATGGTTGAGAATAGTTGAAAGTGACCCACCTTCTGGAAGGCCTGCGACAAGCAGAACAGCTGAGAGTGTTGAAAGTGTACAGGCTGCAATCAGCAAAGATGGGCGACTGACAGTGTGGGAACTAGGAGCTGATCTGGGGATTCCGAAACTACCGTGTCCGAGATTTTGACACAGGATTCACGCATGAAATGTGTCATTGCAAAATTCATGCTGCGGCTTCTGCTGCAAATGGAACATCATGCTGCAGTTGCTAATGACTTGATTCAAACAGCTACTAATGAATTAGATTTCCTCAAGAAGGTCATAATGCTGGGAAAACTGTGTGAGGTCCCAAGGTGCCTACTTTGAGGGGACTGACGTGTCATCGTCTCAGGTACAATGTTTCTTGTAGCTTGTATCTTCTTCAACAAACATCTGTATTTTTCATCATGCGTGGATGGATACTTTCCAGACACATCGTGTGTGTGTGTGTGTGTGTGTGTGTTGTTCTTGATGGAAGAGCTAATCTGGTACCAGTTTTCCCATAATGGGAGAAGTGCAAGTTTTTTTTTCAACTTTTCTTTTTAATATATTTACTGATTATGCCATTACAGTTGTCCCATTTCCCCCTTCATTCCCCTCCACCCCGCACACTCCCTCCCCCACCATTCCCCCCCTTTAATTTATGTCCATGTGTCACAAGTTCTTTAGATTCTATATTTCCCATACTGTTCTTGTCCTCCCCCCTATTTTCTACCTACCGTCTATGCTACTTATTTTCTGTACCTTCTCCCCCATTCTCCTCCTCTTACTCCCCTGTTGCTAACCCTCCATGTAATCTCCATTTCTATGGTTCTGCTCCTGCTCTAGCTGTCCTCTTAGTTTGCTTTTGTTTTAGATATGGTTGTTAATAACTGAGTTTGCTGTCCTTTCACTGTTCATATTTTTTATCTTCTTTTTCTTATATAAGTCTCTACCTACAAAGGAGTTCCCATCAGACTGTCAGCTGATTTCTCAAAAGAGACCTTACAGGCAAGAAGGGGCTGGAAAGAAGTTTTCCAAGTCATGAAATCCAAAGACCTACATCCAAGATTGCTCTATCCAGCAAAGCTTTCATTTAGAATGGAAGGACAGATAAAGTGCTTCTCAGATAAGGTCAAGTTCAAGGAGTTCATCATCACCAAGCCCTTATTATATGAAATGTTAAAGGGACTTATCTAAGAAAAAGAAGATAAAAATTTTTTTCAACTTTTCTAAGTTCCTTTTAGCAAAGTTCCTTTTCTAACTTTTTGAAGTCATTGCCTGACTCATTGCTTTTCAGATTTTGTTGTTTATTTCCTAACACACATTTGAGGCTGTATGTCCCCCATACATATTGCTTTAGCTTTATTCCACAAGTTTTAATGTATAGTATTTTGTTATTGTTTGATTAAAATATTTTCTAATTTTTATTATAATTCCTTCTTTGTCCCAAGGGTTATTCCAAATAATATTAATTATGTCCCACAATTATGAGTGGGTTTTTTTTGACATATGTATTGCAAATAACTTCTCTTGGAGTATGGCTATCTTTCAGTGAACAGAATTCCTTAGCTTTGGTGGAGTCAAATTTATGAAGAAAAAAATATGGCTAATTATTTCTGTGGCCCAGTTAGCAAACTTTTGCTTATCCCAAGACTATGAAGATATATTTCTAAGATTTCTTCTAAATGATTTATTGTTTGTTTTTCGTGCTAAGGCTTATGACGCATTTTGAATGATCTTTTGCGAAGATAAATGGAACCATGTCTTTTTATATCAGGTGACTAGCTGTGGTTACTCTTGTCTGTTGGCTCTGTTTTGTTGGCAAGAGATCGGAGGGAGGCGGAGGGGGTCAGGGAATCATATCCCTGCTTTCCTTTCTGTGAGGTCCCTTGAGGTTGGATTTGTGACTTGACCAAATGCCATTGCTTCTCTCGAGGCAGCCGGCCTTGTGAGGTTCTCACCTTTCTGTGTTTGGATCACTCCTGTGAGTCCTGATTCCTTTAGTTCCAGGAGCAGCGACAGCGCCTGTCCCTGCTAGGACAGACTCTTCTCACCTCTCTGTGATTAGGCGCAAACCTCCCAGGGGAATACTGATTTGCATGTGCCCTTTCCCCTCCAGACTCTGACTAATGTGTTGGTATATTAGAAAGTTTTTAAAAAAATATTCAGTATCCAGCATCTTTGCTAAACACTCTTTAGTTTTAATAGTTCGTTTCTAGAAATTATGGGAATTCCTATGTAAACAATCATAGCATCTTATCAATGGCAACCCTTTTGTTTCTTAAAATACTTACGATTTTAATTTCTGTTTCTTTTCTTATTTTCCTGGCTAACACCTCCATTGTGATGTTGAACAAAAGTAATTTATAGTTGTCTCACTCCAGGCTTTAAATTAAATGCATTGAATGATTCACCATCAAGAATTTTACTCTCTGAATTTATTATTATTTTTTTAAAAATCATAATCGGATATTGAGTTGTTTTGAATAGTTTACTCCATTGTTTGGGGTCATCATAAAGCCCCTTTCTTCTCTTTCTCTTTCTGCTCTTCCCTGGGGTCCTGGCTCCATCCTGATCGTGACCTGATCGTCAAGGTCAAGGCCGTGGAGATCATTCTTTCTATCTCCAGCCTTGAAGGGCACGATTGGAACTTTATAGTCCTCTTGGGTAAATGTGGGGTTTTTGGAATATTTCCTGTGGGATATTACAAGATGTTCATTAAGGCATCATTTTGATATACTGTTTTGCTTATAAAACATCTGCTTCTTATAAGTTCTGATTTACTCAAGACCTCCTTTCTAAAGTAAGGAGAGAAGCCTAGGCTGGTGTGGCTCAGTGGATTGAATGCCAGCCTGGGTTGCAGGCCAGGTCCCCGTTTGGGGGCATGTGAGAAGCAACTGATGGATGTTTCTCTCACACATCAATGTTTCTCTCCGTCTCTTTCCCCCTCCCTTCCCCTCTCTCTAAAAATAAAGAAATAAAGTCTAAAATAAAAAATAAGGAGAGCAAGTAGTAAAGGGGATGACGGGGAGAGAAACCTCGTTCTGACACTTACATGTAATTTGCAACAATCCTGTGGAGCAGGTATTAGTGTGCTCGGTTTACAGACCAGGAAACAGAAGCTCAGAGAGGGGAAGTGCACTGCCCAGGACCATGGCCGAGTGGGATTCTGGAGTTCTGGCCTGGAGTTTGTGGCCCCAAGTTGGGGCTCTCTCTGTTGTGAGGCAGTAAGAAATGTTTGCTGCCTCACAACAGAGAAGTAAGACCTGGGCCCTTCTTCTCGAGAGGGTACTTCTGCTTTCTCTGACCCTTGGATTCTCGGCTCTAAGCATCTCCTTGTCTGTCCTGTCATGCGGTGCACAAATGAGACAGGGGCTGTGTCGGGGCTGAGGGTCCTGGATCTGTCCTGCAGTGGGCTGCGGAGCCTGCCCCCAGGCGCATTCTCCTGCTTGCCCCACCTGCAGGCGCTGCTACTTCAGGGAAACCAGCTGGAGTGGCTGGAGGGCCAGGTGTTCCAGGGCCTCAGGAGGCTAAGCCGTGCAGTGTAGAGGCCCACCCTCCTGCCAGTTCGGCAGTGCGGAGACATTGCGGGCCCCAGGCTGTTTCTAGACCCTCCTGGGCACACTGGGGGCTGTGTATCTTGTCAGCGCTGTGTGTGTGTGTGTGTGTGTGTGTGTGTGTGTGTGTGTGTGTGTGTGTGTGTGCTTGGGGAGGAAGGGGTCTGAAGAAGAGGGGAGTGGAGAGTGAGGTTCTGATTGTGCTTGTCTCTAGACCAGGCTTGGGGCTGAGATGGCTGGACATTTGCTGCTGCCTGGATTGCTCCTGTTCCTTCCTCTGACCACGGGCTGGACCGCTTCAAATTGCTTAGTGACCGAAGGCTACCGGCTGCATCTGCTCTCCCGTTTCTTCCTGTGCAGCCTGGACTCCAGCCTGCATCTCCTCGCATTGTGCTCTGGGGTGAGCAACCTGACTCAGGCCTTGGAGGCTGTGCCACAGGGTGTAGAGGGGCTCTGTCTCAGTGGTTCCACTTCAGTTCTGCCATCGGATGCCTTCTCCCTCTTCCCTGGCCTCAAGATCTTGAAACTGTCTCTGAGTCTCACCAAGGTCTTGCCAGGAGCCTTCGGGGGCCTGGGGCAGCTGCGACAGCTGTCTCTCACGTGCCATCACTTGGAAGACTTCTTCCTACCCCCTGATGCCTTTGGCAACCTGAGCTCCCTCCAGCACCTACATTTCCAGTGCTGCCTGGATAGGAACTCGGGTGTCCGGTTGCCTCCCACTCTACGGCGACTTGGCATCAGCAGTCGTTGCCTTCAGGATGTGGGGAAGTTGGCAGACATCTTCCCAGACCTGGTGCTCGGTCCTTCCTCTGGTGATGCCTGGACTCTGGATGTCCTGGACCTGTCATTTAACAGAAAGCTGATGAGGGCCAGCCCTGGGGCCCTCTAGGGCCTCCAGGTGGGGACTCTGAATCTGGACCACACAATGATGAAGGCAGCTGCAGTGAAGGGACTGGGGCTGCAGAGGCTGGATGCCCTGTCTGTGATGCATACTGACCTGACTGAGCTGCCTGCTGAGACAGTTGCCCACTTTGAGCTGCAAGAGCTGAATGTGGGATTCACACGGATAGGGCGCATAACTCCAGAAGACCTGGCTTCCTGCCGAAGCCTGAAGAGCTTGGGTCTTCAGAGCAGTAGACTGACTGACCTGCCACCAGGTTTCCTGGCTGCCCTGCCCAGGCTTCAGAGACTGAACTTGAGAAGCAATAAACTGCGGAGTGCCATGCTGTGTACAAAAGAGACGGGGGCTGTGTCGGGACTGGGGGCCCTGGATCTGTCCTGCAATGCGCTGCAGAGCCTGCCCCCAGGCGCATTCTCCTGCTTGCCCCACATGCAGGAGCTGCTACTTCAGGGAAACCAGCTGGATTGGCTGGAGGGCCAGGTATTCCAGGGCCTCAGGAGGCTGGAGAGGTTGGACTTGAGTAACAATCCACTGGTGACGCTGGGCGAGGCCTGGTTGGCTCATCTGCCAGAACTGACCACCCTGAACCTGCTGGGTACCAGCATCATGCTGAGCCCAACCTGGGACTTCTGGGGCCCAGAGAATCTGCATGACCTGAGACTGCAGTTCCCCTCGGGCCCTTTCGGGGTAGTGCTGTCCGTGCCCACGAGACTGACTAGCTTGGAGCTTCGTGCAGCACCAGGCAGGAAGCTTTGGAAGCTGGCTTCCCCCATCTTTCCAGTCTTGCAGACCCTGACTCTAAATGGCTGGGGACTGCAGCTGGAGGCCCAGAATATCACCAAGATCTTCCCTGCCCTTCGCCAACTCTTCTTGCTTGGCAACAGCTTGGAGGCCCTCTGCTCCCAGGGCACCTCCAGCTTCTTCCTCTGGCAGCTTCCCAGACTCCAGTATCTAAGGGTCCGGGGTGATGGGCACAGCCCCAGGCCCTGTTGCATCACTGGGCTGCCCAACCTCCAGGAGCTGGAGCTGCAAAGACTGCAGTCCCGAGCACGGCCCCACTCAGTGCGGTTGGAGGAGCTGGTGGGTGAGCTGCCCAGGCTGCAGGTGCTGCGTCTGTCCCAAACTGGCTTGGAGACATTGTCTGCTGCTGCTTTTCAGGGTCTGGGAAGTCTCCAGGTCTTAGTGTTGGACACGGAGACAGGCATTGTGCTGGATGGCAGTCTCCAGGAGCACAGTCCCCAGATGCCACAGTACATGTATGTTTTGAGTTCGTCCTTGGCCTGCCAGTGTGCCAATGCCTGGCTGGAGCCCTGGCTTAAGCGGTCCCCCAGAACATATGTACATATAGAACCACGCCAGCTGTGCCAGCCAGAAGCTGGGGGCCACCCTAAGAATCCCCTTTTCCCCTTCCTCTGGAGTCACTGTCCCAAGACTTTGGAGTTGGAACTCTTTTTGGGCAGCTCTGCCCTGCTATTTCTGCTGATCTCCTTGCCTTTCCTACAAGAAGCCAGGAATTCCTGGATCCTCTACCTACAGGCCCTGTTCAGAGCTTGGCTTCAGGATCTGAGGGGTCGGAAGGGTGAAGGCAAGAGGTTCCTGTATGATGTCTTTGTGTCCCACTGTAGGCAAGACCAGGCCTGGGTGGTACAGGAGCTCCTGCCTACTTTGGAGGGCAGCTGGGGGCTGCACCTCTGCCTCCCTGAGCGGGATTTTGAGCCAGGCAATGACGTGGCTGATAATGTGGCAGAGAGCATGGGAGGCAGCCGGGTCATGCTCTGTGTGCTGAGTTGCCAGGCTCTGGGCACACCACGCTGCTGCCTGGAGCTCCACCTGGCCACTTCCCTTCTGCTGGCTGCCCCTCGCCCCCCAGTGCTGCTGATGGTCTTCCTGGAGCCAGTCTCCCGCCACCAGCTTCCCCGCTACCACAGATTGGCCCAGCTGCTCCGCAGAGGAGACTATTATGTGTGGCCTAAGGAAGATGAGAGAAAAGGTGACTTCTGGGCTTGGCTAGAAAGCAGACTGGGGCAAGCTGGGTTGGGCTAGAGTGAATGCATGTATTTTGGAGGGTGGGGATGGGAGAGGAAAGCCAGTCTGGCAGGGAGAGAGTGGGTAAGTGTTAGTGTGTGAGACTGAACTGAGCTGGGAGGTGGGGGTGCTGCGTGTATGGCGAGGATCAACTGGTAACTTGGGGGATGGCAGGTGGCCATGAGGTGTGCGATGTGATCTCAAGATGACCAGATCCTCAGTAAATTTACTAAATACATGAAATGATTGGCATAATTGGACTTGTTTGATGGAAATGCACATGAGAAAGAGGGTGAAGGGGCAGGGGTCACAGAAACTGTAGCCGGGAGGAAATAAAGTGGGGGAATTCAGGGAGAGTGTGGGAATGAAGGGAAGACTCTGAGTACTCCTAAGTTATGGAATGAGGTCTAGGCCAAGTTCAACCAGATCATCAAGGGGCAGAGAGTCCCCTTTTGCCATCTGTATTATAGAGGTATTGGCAGCTGAGGACCTAAAAAGCTGGGATGCTACCCAGGAGGCAGAGGACTGATCACCTACACCCTCAATGAACACATGAAAGCACGATCACATCTGTCGTCTTGTTCGAACCTCATTGCAATACTGGGAGGGGGAACCCGCCTCCATGGCACTCTGACTTCAGCCAAGCTAAACTACCTGTAGCTCCCAGGACCCCATGTACTCCCGCCTCTGGGCCTTTGCATAGACTCTTCTCCCTCCTAATTAATTTCTTCTGGGGAAGTACTGTGTATCCTTTAAGATTCAGCGCAGCCATCATTTTCTCCAGAAGCCATACCCCACCTGCCAGCCTCTCGGTTCCCATGACTTCCCACACTTTCCTTTCTTAAAGTACCGATCACACTGTACCAGCCCTCACAAGTCTGGGAGCCCCCAGAACAGTGGTCTGCAAAGGGAGTACACAAGGTGAGCCACTGGGGTTTAGGGAGAAAATTTAAAAAAAACTTCTATTTGCATTTTTTCATGTCTCGCTTTATTCTGAAGCTGGCCTGCCTACTTTTTAGCTATGCTACTTAACCTCTGTATATCAGTTTTCTCTTCTGTCCTATGGGATAGTCTTACACCCTCCCTCGGAGGGTTTTGTGAGAATTAAATGAGTTAGTAGGTATAAAGCCCTGAGAGCAAGACCTAGTAATGCATTGTCAATATTCAACAAAACTTAACTTTTTAATACAATTATGTATGTACTACATGCATATCATATATAAGTAAATAAATACACGTATGTTGGGAGTGTGTGCTCAAAAATGTCTTACTAGTAGGGAGCATTACTAACTTACTAATAGAAAACTTGATCAGGAGAGTTTGGAGATCAGACCCTGGGGCCAGGGGCCAGGTTTGATGCATCTTAGAGCCTAGTGCTGGCCCAGACAACTATGGACAGAAAAAAAATCTTGGTGGATGCTGAACCAGAGAACTGGGGTCTGTTTATTTCTATATGATATTGGGCCAGGAAACTGGGCCTCTTTCAGCTTTACTTTTCCTCTTTTGTAGAATGCCAGGCTTTAAATAGACAAAGGCTAAAGCACACCATAAAACAATTCTAGGCTGGATTTTGGGTGAGGGGCGCCCTCTAGGGTCCTAATGGTGTTTTTCTCTCTCTCTCTCTCTGTGTTCTTACCTCCATTCCTCCTCTTCAGGGCTGATGATCCTGAAATGAATGTCCTTACCTGACCCTGCAAAGTTGACTTTCCAGCTTCAGATCTGGACACTCTCTCCAACGTCTCCAGCCCTCTCAGCACCTCACACTGCAGAACTGTCTCTCTCTCCACTCACATCACACCAGCCCCTCCACTGGTGAAATTTTCTTTATGCAGCATGAGGCTGAGAAGAAACCTTTCAGGTCACATGCCCAGGTTCAAATCCCAGGCCTTGCACTTATTGGCTATGTGACCTTGAGCGGTCACTACACCTGTCCAAGCCCCCATTTCCTCCTTGTAAATTGGAGGTAATAATATCCACCTCATAGTGCTGTGATACTTCAGTAACAAGGAGTGCTTACGGGTTGCTGCTCCTTTCACTGGGTAAAACCACAGGAGTTGTTAATACAAGTAGGTTGGAACATGTTTCACAGAGAAGGACTTTGAACTGAGTCTTTAAAACTAAGATATAGAATTCCACCAATTTTAACAATAGCCAACATGTATGGAGCACTGGGCCATGTACCAGGTACTGTCAATTTCCCTGAAGTCTCATAACTATTAGTAAAATAATAATAGCTAATAATTATTAGACTCCTTCTGCTAGCCATGTGTCAAGTTCTTTACGTACTTTTCTCCATTTATTTCTCACCAACTCTATCAGGTAGATGCCATTATTTTAATTCCCGTGTTACAGATGAGAAAACTGAGGCATAAAGAGGTGAATTAATTTGCCCAATGTTTCACAGCTAGTGAGTGGCAAGGCCTGCATCTTGCGTTTGAAAATAAGTTTCAGACACAAGTAGCTTGACTCCAAAGTCCATGCTTTACTTGCATTATCTCATTTAATCTTCACAACACCTGCAACGTAGGTTCTGTTGTATCACCTGCATTTTAAGGATGCAAAAACCAAAGACAGAAGAGATGCAGTGATTTGTTTAAGGCCACACAGCTAGGAAATAGTTAGGCTGGAATTTGGATCCATGTCTGACTTCAAAACCACATTCTCAACCTCATATTAGATTGCTAATACCCCAAAGTACAAAACAACTGATTTTACATTAAAAGTATTCAGATTATTATTATTCTAACGATGATTAACATTCTTCTAATACACACCAAGTTGCAAGCTCTGTACTAACTGATTTACATAATAATAGCTAATATTCGCTGTGTATTTTCAGGAGTCAGGCCCTGAGCTAATCGTTTTAGTTGTATCATTCACTGAAGCCTCACAAAAACCTGTAGACTCTGATGTTGTTATTATCCTTGTTTTACAAGTAAAGCAAGCGCGATTCACAGTTGAGCCAAAGTCATTCAGCTTAAGTATAAGCTGGAAATTGAACTACAATTGTCCAACTCTCTCCTGCCCACCAGTCCGGTCACCTCTAGACACCCTCTCTCCTTATTTCTTTTTCTTTTTTTCCCTCATTTCGTATTGTTTCTGCTTTGATCTCTCTCGGGCCTAAGGCTCCCGGTTTGCCCCTTCAACAGGCCCCGCCCCCTCAGCTTGAATGCCCGCCTACTGGGCAGTGTCATTTTCCAGAACCTGTGGAAAGGACCCAGGATCACAACAGGCCCCACCCTCCCGCTTAGATCCTGTTCCGATTTGTTCCGGTGCCGGGGACGGGAGAAAGTGCCACATCTATTGGCTAACGACTTCTCCCGGGCAGTAAACGGAGTTCACGCGGTACTTTCTGGGAGTTGTAGTCTCTGACGGTCCATTCCGGGGAGGTGTCGTTTGGACTCCGCGTCCCAGCATTCCCTGCGCGAGCTCTGGAGCACTTCCGCCCCGTTGTGAAGTGGGTAGCTCGGTTGGTGAGTCCGGGTGGCGGGGCGGGGGCAGTTGAGACTCAGGCTCTGGGCTGGAGACTTAGGAGGTGGTGGTGTAAGAGGGGACCGGGGAAGGTGAGAGGGGAGAAAAGCTTTGGTGGGTGGGTGGGTGGGGGGAGTGTGAGGAGTGGTCAGAGGATGAAGCCTCCGGAGATGGGAAGAAGGGTCATAGAGGGGGTTGGGGATGAGGAGGGAGATAGAGCACCCCTGGGACTGAGGACCGTCTTAGATCTGTAGGTGAGGCCACCGAGAGAGGGTCTAGAGGTGGGAGCGTCGTAGAAGGGCCAGGAGACCACAGAGGGAAGGAGAGAGAGTTCTAGGGCCCTGGCAAGAAGTGAAAATAAGATGGCCTGAGCTTGAAGCCCAACCTTAAAAATATCGTACAAGTCTTTACCTGCCCACCTAGAACAGACATCTCAATTGATACCCCCTTACATGTTCTCTAGTAGTTGTGACTCCTGGAACCCAGTGGGTGGGACTGGCTATTGTGCAAACCTGCACCTCTTTCCTTGGGACTGATGGAAGTGAATGGCACCATCATCTGCTTTACCCAGGGGCCTTCTGAATTCTCTTGCATTCTTCCACATCCAGGGATCTTCAGATCCTTCAGTTTCCTTAATGTGTCTTGAATCTGCTCTTTCTTTGTCGGGTTTTTACTGAAGCCTCTATCTTTTCACCTCCCAGCTTGGACAAACACATTGTACCTAGTGCGATCCGTTTAATCCACAAATCTGATTATGCCTTTGACTTTAAAAACCTTCCTTGACACCCACTCATCATTGATAGAACTGAGTCCAAACACCTCAGTTTGATATTGAAGATCCTTCATAAACTACTTCGCTGCCTAATCTTCGTGTACCTCACACTCCAGGGCTCCCAAGGTTTTCCCCATTTCTTGAGAAGGCTGTTTGGTTTCCCACCCTTATGTATGCTGTTGTCTCTTTCAGATACACTCCCTCCCCTCCCTATTCTCTGTCAAGGGAGCTATTCTTCCTTCAAGAACCAACTCAAATGTTACTTTGTTCAGTTGCCTTAAGCAGATAAAGTTTCCTCTCACCCCTAGCTCCCACAGAACTCTTTCCCACATTTTGACCATCATTATCTGTGCTTTTTTTTTTTTTCCTTTTTCTCTTTGACTAGACTGTCAGCATCTCTAGGACAGGGACAGTTTCTGAGTCACCTCTGTTTCCCCACTGCCTAGTAAATACTTGATGAATGTGTAACTAAAGACAATCCCGGGTGAGCTTTGCTATACCAGGCTTGAAAGGTGCTACTTCCGGTGGGTTTCTAGGGGCATGAGTTTAGTCTTCTGCCTGTGAAGGCTGTTTTTGCTGGAAGCTGTTTCATTGCCTATGGTGCCTCTGGGAGTTTAAGCCATGGGTGGCAAATACGTGGAACGTGTGCTGCCATTTCCGTTTCCTGTGCCTGGCAGACGTAGCTAATTGGTCACAACACATTCATGTGGGATTTCGAGTCCTCAGCACAGTTGAATGCAATTGGTGCTTTAAATGGAACCTATTTGCTTTCCCTGGTTTATGTCTTTAAATGGGAGGTCAGGCTACTTAAGCAATAGCTTGGACCATCATCCAAATGAGCTTGAAAGCCTTCGTGGAACTCCCAGTTTTTTTTTCCTTTGGAGGTCACAGACCAGTCTTGGCTTTTCCCATGAGACTGGAGCAGATCTCTTCCTACCCCACTGTTCACTGGGTGGGTTCTTGTCCACATCCATACTCACGACCCCAGGAGCCAGGATGCCTCTGAGCTTCGCTGTGTTTGTAAAGGTATCCTGATTCTGACAGCAGCCAACACCAATCTTCATTACTTAGGAGAATCTGTACCCTTTTTTTAGGGCTTCCTGGAGATTGGAGGAGACCTTTTAGATCACTCAGCTGAAAGCTGCCAAAATGACAGCCCATGCTGAAAGAAGCCTTCCATCATGCTAATTTAATCTTCAGGGTGTTTGAAACAAGTTTGAGTAGGTTGCCACCATTTAAAAATCTAGAGCTCTGATCTAGAAAAATTAGGTGGCCTGTGGACACTGAGCCAGCGGTCCCTCTGGTGTTCCCTAGGAGCACAGTCCCCACTCCACTCATTTACTCACTGACATTGCCTGGCCTCTAGCCATTGAAATTCGTAGCCACTGATTTTAGTCTCCCCGTCCCTTTGCTCTACTCCCATTGTACTAAGTGGGGAACCTGGGCAACTGTGAGTAGTGTCGGGCTGTCCGCTGCAGTCCAGAGAGGCTGCAGTCCAGAAGCCACATGACCTGCCCAAAGTCACACAGCTGGTAAATGGCAGGAGTGGAGCTAGAGCCCGGATTTGTTCCCTCCTGCCTCCGTGTCCTTCCCACTCTCCATGCCGTCTTCTCGGGACTTTGCAGGACTGGCAGACCTAGAGGAGGCAGCATGGTGTGGATAAAAAAATGACTGGAGAAGACGAATCTGGGCTTATATTTCGACTGTTCCACTTGATGGTTGTATAACCTTAAGTGAATTTTTTCCATAGAAAAAATTCCATATGTGTACATTAAAGATATAGTAGGGTCATACAGACCTCACAGGATAATGATTTTCTAAAGGCAGCATGGAAGGTGATAATCACATTTAGCCCAAAACCACAGCTTGAATAGCCTTGGGCAAGGAGCCATGTAGAAACCAACACGCAGTCTTTCGATAAGCTAACCAGACAGCTGGGTTTTCTTGGTTGAACACTAGATGAAAGAGTTGGCTTGTGTATACAGGTGGTGCTGTAGAAGGACGCTGCTCACAGTCGGTGGGAGGGATACTCGAGGGAACTGGGACCAGCCCAGGGACCAGCAGAGTCATGGGCGTCATCACGTCACCGCTGCTCACTCTGGAAGAGACACATAGTGAATGGGACTGGTGCACTGTTTAAATCCTGGCCTTTCTTCCCTTTCCTGATGTTTGTGTGCAGTTAACACGTGTGAGTTACACATCAGTGTCAGCCCAGCACCAGCACTCCCTTGGCTGGGGGATTCGGTGAGATGATGACTAGGGGCACTTAGCACCAGGCCTGGCACCGTGGGCACTCAGTAAATAGGGTCTCTTGGAGGTTGCTGCTTCTAGTGACAACCCAGAGATTCCTGGCAGTCTCAGCACAGGAATGCCCGTGTCCATTTTTTCCCTGTGTGAAGCCACCCTGATGTTGGCTGGCTGCATTGACTGCCCCTTGTGGGTAAGCTGCTGTTCATATGAAAGAGAGTAGGAGAATAATCCTCAGGTTTGTATTTGAAAATAACCTTTGGGACTTTCAAGTCGTTCCAGAAGAAAATACCTGTTATCTGTGACCCTGGGCTTCGGGCTGGTGGGAGTACCCACTGCCCGTGTTGCTGAAGGGCTCTCTCTGTAGAGGGTGCTGATTTTGCTCATTCACTGTCTCTTATTAGACTGTAACTTCTGTGAAGGCAGAGACTGTCTGCCCCAGTTACCGCCGCTCTCCAGCTCACAGTACTGTGCAGGGGACATAGCGGGATTCTGCAGATGGCAGGAACACAAATGTGTTTAGATTAGTGCATGATTAAGGGGCTGTGGTTAAAGAAGAGATTTCATGAAAGGTTAATTTCTTTAGCGTGATATAAATTATGGATCTTCATAGCCCGTTAGGTTTTTAGTGTACCACCTTTACTGTTTTAATAAAAGGCAGCAAAACTTCCGAGGGCCCTGCTATTTATCGGACACTGGGATGGGCACTGTGGACACAGAAATGAGTAGGATTTAGTGCTGACCCTGGTAACACAACCTAACGGGGCTGTCAGGTGTAAGAACATGAACTGCAGTTGTGTAGGAAACGCATGTATTCGAGGTATGTGCCCTTTGCTTAGGGAATGCAGGCTTGGGGAGGCGATTCTTGGAGAGCAGGCAGGGGGAAGGGCATGGTAAGAGCATGTCAAGGAGGTCTTAACCGGTGAGACGACATTGAGCTGAGAGGTGAAGGACATGTAGGAAGTTGCCAGGTGGTCATGAGTTGTGTCCCTAAGTATGTAGAGGACTTTAGGACGGGCCTTTGTTTTTTCATCGTCCTTGCCTTGTTTCTAGACAGTCCAGTCAGATGGCCTAAAACCAAAGCACCATCCTCCCTCCACTTAGCTCAGCTGGGTCATTCCCACGTGGGCGCTGCTGAGAGCCTCTGAGCAGGCATGGTTTACGTCATCTGGATTTGTCGGGAGTGACACAGAGAGCTCGTTTTCCCAGATGACCGAGCGTGAGTGTTGTTGGGGTCTCGGCTGTGTGAAGGTCGCAGCCTCCGACGTCTCCAAGTGTATTCAGTGTGCACCGCACTGCTGTGGCTGTGGGGCGGGGAGGTGTGAAAACGAGAGGTCAGCTCTGTCCCTTGCCCTCAGTGAGGCTGTAACCTCTCTGGGGACACACATATGTACACACATCCCTGTGATACAGCCTAGCAAGTGGCCAGTGTCACAGCGATGGAAATAAAGAGGAGAAAAGGATTCCTTCTGGCCTGAGGAAGGTCATGGTTCTTTCATCTAGTTTGCCTAGGAAGGCCTGATTATAATCCTTGCTCCGTGACACAGGGCTGTCAGTAGCTGAGTTGCTGTCCCCTGAGTGCTTCCTGTGTGTGCGAAGCACTGGGCCAGGCCCCTGAGGGCAGCCTGTGATCTGGAGGGTAGGTGATTGTCACATATGATCTGGGTGACGACACAGAAAACACACGGGGGCGTGGGAGCTTGAGTCTGAGGACTGGATCTTGGGAAAGTACAATTTAAGCTGAGGCCGGGCAAGGAGAAGAAAGGGCAGAGGCTGTTCCCAATGGAGACCCCAGCGTGTGGCCCGATCAGAGGGCAGCGCCATGCAGGAGCTGCAGCCTGTGCAGCTGAAACACCGTGACTGGCAGGAGCACGGTGAAGCAGCGAGGTCTGGGCAAGGTTCGTACTTGATCCTGAGGGAAATGGGAGGCCACTGAAGGGTGCTGAGCAGGAAGTGACACGGTCATATTTTGGTCTAGTCTGGTTGTTGCGAAAAGAAGGGGCCAGGGGTTGGGTGAGGGGAGTGGAGGCAGGGACGAGAGAGAAGATGCTGATCTAGTGATGAGCGTGGTGAGTCTCTGGACTGAGGGGGTGGCACCGGGGATGTAAGTGGTTAGAAGGCCCTGCGGACACGGTTTGGTGGTGAGCTGGATGAGGAGGGTCTTGGAGAATGATGACGACCAGGTTTCCGGCCTGGCTGAGCTGACGGAAGGGGTGCCTGTGTTGGACGGGCAGCTCCAGGAAAGAGACAGGCTTGCCAGAGAAAACGATGCATTCAGTTTTTGACCCAATGAGTTTGAAGTGCCTAAGAGACAGTCAAGTGGAAGTGTCTTGTAGGTGGTTAGGTTTGGGGGTCTGGAGGTCTGCAGCTGGGTCCTGGTCACAGTTTTGAGGAGTCCTAGAGGTGGTGAAAACTGCCAGGCGAGTAGGATGACCAGGGGGAGTACAGCGTGAGCGAGGGACTTTGCAAGGAGAGTACTCTTGGAGGAAGACTGAAGCCTCACGGCCCAGGGAGAAAGGCCTTCCGGAGGGGTGGCGTTTGGATCCCAGCTGGAGGGAAGGGCAGACTTGGGACGTGTGTAGAGGGGGGAAGGCTTCTCTGGGACTAGATCATGGAGGCCTGATGCCAGGCTGAGGTGTGCAGCGTGCCCTGGAGGGTCTAACACTGCTGGCTCTGGTTTGGGGCCAGACTGTGGCCTAACTTCTTGTTCGTGGAACACAACATCCTTTAGCACCACCGCCCCCTTCAGTGGCAGTGGCGAGTGTGGGGAAAGTGAGGGAGGTGCGGCTCCTGGGTCCTCTTGCTCACTGTCCTTTGTCCTTCTGTGTTCAGAGCCGTGGAAAGCACTTCCTCTCCCAGGACCCTCCTGAAGGACACACCGTAGATGCAGGAAGACGTCGGGTGAGGACAGCCCAGCTGAAGGGAGGCGTCCAGGACGGAGCATGGCTGTAGCCCTGGAATCCCAGGCCCAGGTCTCTCCCCCACCAGATCTGGAAGAACTCCTGATTGTGAAATTGGAGGAGGACGCTTGGAGATCAGAATCCAGACCTCAGGCGAAGGACCGAGACCCTGTCCCTGGCCCTGAGGTCTCCCGCCAGCGCTTCAGGCAGTTCCAGTACAGGGATGCATCCGGACCCCATGAGGCCTTCAGCCAGCTCTGGGCGCTCTGCTGTCGCTGGCTGCGGCCAGAGATCCGTCTCAAAGAGCAGATCCTGGAGCTGCTGGTGCTGGAGCAGTTCCTGACTATCTTACCCAGGGAGGCCCGGGCCTGGGTGCAGGCCCGCCACCCTGAGAGCGGCGAGGAGGCGGTGGCCCTGGTGGAGGATTGGCACCGGGAGGCCCGGGCTGCAGGACAGCGGGTGAGGCAAACAGTCTGTTCTCCAGAAGTGGGCCAGGCACGGCCGTGGGGCCGTGACAAGGTTAATGGTTGCTAAAATAATAATTGCTATTGAACAACTGCCATTTCTTGAGCGTGACTACGTACCAGACGTTGTTCTGAGTGGTTTCTGTGTATTAACTCACTTACTCCTTCCACAATTTCACGAGACAGGTACTGTTATCCAGCTTTAACAGAACAAGTGTGAGGGAACACACCTTACGTTAGTGTGCCCCGCAGTTATTTGTCTCGTGGCGGTGAGGAGACAGATGGAAGTCTTAGGACTTCAGGGCTGGAAGCAGAAGAACGTGAGACCCAGAGATGAGAACTGACTTAAATCAAGGTCTTTATGATTCTGCATCTGTGAGGTGAGAGGGTTGGACTATACCAAAAATTCTCAAATCATACCCATTGTGAGCTGAAGACTAAAAAATAATAGGGTGAAGAAACCTTCTCTGTAATGCATTTTGTCCTGTGACTTCTGGTTTTTAACTTTCCCACTTGCTCCTGAGGCTCACAAGTGTCAAAACGAATGGATAAATAGGTAGCTTGTTCCCCCACCCCCAGAAGCGTACGTACGTTGTAGTTTACGATCTTGTTTACGATCTTACGTTGCAAGGCTGGTAACTCCCATAGCCTCCCTCGTTATGGATAAGCACCCCCCACGGGAGTGGTGCGTTTGTTACTGTCCACAGACCTGCAGTACGTGCTGTTGCTGTCAAAACGGGGAAGGGATGGGAGTGTGCATTATACAGTTGCTTGTACGTAGGGAGTCTCTGAGAGGGGCAGGAAAAGAGTGCGGACCGGTGGGGAGGGGTGGGGCGGAGGAGGGGCTGGGCTGTTTCACTGAATATACCTTTATGTCTGCTTTCTGTTTCTGAACCATGTGAGTGTTGGAAATACCTATTGAAGACATTGAACTACATTTTTTTATTTGTAGGTTTTATTTATTATTTTTAGAGAGAGGAGAAGGGAGGGAGAAGGAGAGAGAGAGAAACGTCAAAGAATGGTTGCCTCTTGCACACCCCCCACTGGGGACCTGGCCCACAACCCAGGCACGTGCCCTGACTGGGAATCGAACCGGTGCTTTCTGTTTGCAGGCCAGCTCTCAATTCACTGAGCCACACCAGCCAGGGCTGTAATACATTTTTAAAAGTGGAGTGTGTCTCTAAGGCAATTGAACTTGTTATGTCTGGGGGGTTTAGGGCCAGGAAATAACATCTGGGCCTCTACCTCTGAATTTGCAACCAACAGAGAGAGAAGAAATTAGTTGTATGGTTGATAGTGCTGAATTGGGTGATGTCCCCTCTTAACTGACTATTCCTTTGGTTTTGTATATGTTCTCTGTATCTCTGAGCACTTTTTTACCCGAACTTCCACACTGAAATTAAAATTGCCTCTTTGGTTTTCGTTGGAGGTCGAGTCCCTGTCCTTCCGTTTTAAGAGAGGTGCGCCTTTCTGAAACTTCTCTCTCATCTTAAAATCCCACTTGTAATTCTTTGTCCCTCCTTTTTTCGTATGTTTAGTTTTGGATTTTCTTTGCCTTCGGCAGGAATAGTTAGAATAAGTACGTTATTTAGAGTTACAGTTGTATCTGCTTTTATGCATTTCTTTGCTTTTTAATGCATACCTGGTACCTTTTTTTCTTTCTTTTTTCTTTTTGGGCAACTTAAAAATTAAACAGCCTGTTTTAGATGCTTAGAGATTATCTTTGAAATTATCTACAGTGTTTACTTAACTCATCTCTTTACAACACAGAAGTGCCTTGAGCAGTGCGGCCTCATCGAGACACTTGGACAGCCAGCGCCCTGTGCCGAGACAGTGGGCGTGAATGCGGGTCTGTTACCGACGTTGGGCTGACGGCTTCGTTGTCACACTTTGAATCATCTTCGGGTCTTAAAAAAAGAGCCTTTTGACCTCTGGGTCATAGTTGTGCTCCAAAGAACATTTCCTACCTGCCAAAATTGGGTCTTAACTGATGATTGGGAATTTTGACTGTCTGTGTAGGAACTGAAATTGTGTGGAGAAGAGGCCAGGTCCTTGAAGGCAATGCCAGAACCTCGGGGCTTTCGGCCACATTCAGTGGGTCACTGGCCTGAGAGACAGACCCGGAGGCAGTGGGAGAGGAGTCCGTGCCCTGGCCGCCCCAAGCATCTAGACACCGAGATGGCGCCCCCGGCCTTGAAAGAGAGTGGTGAGTACCAAAAATCAGGGCACCTCAAGAAGGAGGGGTGCGGAGGAAGGGTACGTGGGGAGGAGGGATGTACTGAATTCAAGGCAAGGGGTGGAGTAGTGTCTCTCGGACACACTGAGAAGCGAGGCACGGCAGCGTTTATGTTAAAGGAGATGCAGCTCCCAGTGATGTCAGCTCGTCCCCTCTGTGCTGAGTCACGAAGCGGGTCCGCGCTGGCACTGGGGCGAGGTGGTGCTCTGGGAGCTGGGGCTGGCACCTCCCACGTGGCACACCACTCGAGGCAGCTTGGGCACTAGATTCCCTCGGAGGGAGGGAGAAGGGGAAGTTTGCCCTGGCTCAGAGATCATCTCAGTCGGACGCGAGCGGGGCGTTTGGAAAGCTGGACAGGGGGTGGTTCTCTGGCTGCCAGAGCTTGGGCTTCAGAGACTTTTTCTTCTCCTTAGCTGCCCTCACTCCCCGAGTCCCTACTCTCCCAAAGATGGGGAGCACTGGAGGTTGGGAGGTGACAGCCGAGTCCCAGGTAAGCGGCTCTCTGTGTTTCCTTTCCTGTCATTACTTCTCCTGTGCCGCGTCTGTCTGCCATAGTCCTTCTCTGTGGCCTCCCTCAGCAACAGGGCACGGGGTGTCAGCCTCTGCCCCTCCCCCCGCCGTCCGCCGGGCCTCTCCGTGGTCATGCTGCTGCTTACGGTGCTGGACTCACACCCAGTTCCTCTGTATTCCCATTACCTTTCCTGGGACCCCGTGGGGTTCCCGGGCTGTGACATTTGAGGTCTTTCTTTTGTACATCTCACAGGAGACCTTGGGCCCTGGCAGACATGCTGAGAAGGAGTTTCACAAGGACCCCCCTGGAGACAGCTGTGCAAACGGCGTGTCCCTGGGTAAGGAATAGTGGCCGCTGAAGAAGACTCTGGGTTTCTGGTGCACTCAGTTCCCAAGGAGCCTTTATCACTCCCCTAAGATTCATGCCTCTGTGAATCTGTGGAACTTCAGACATAGGGGGAGGACAAGCTTTTTGTAGCCAGCACTGTGGGGGCAGGGTTGGAGTGTGGGGAGTGCAGTCGGCCTGGACGGAGGCTGGTGGGCTGGCCTTCCTGAGAGCCTGCCCTCCCAGGGCTTGGTCCCTTCCTTTCCTCAGTATGTTCACCGGGTGCAAGGGTGGGTCCTGCCTGCCGTCTCAGAAGTCCAGGCCACTCAGCATCAAACAGGATCCATCTCTCGGGGCACACTAGTGAGCTAAGCCCATGGGACTGATGTGCTGAACTGCAGTGAGAAATGCAGGTCACAGGGCTCGACACACTTGAGGCCCACGTGACCCCCACAGACGCCTCTCCCGCGGGCACCTCTGCACAGGAAGCCGAATAGTGGTGCTCTGCTTCCCTGGGCCGGGCATAGTGGGGGACAGGTCTCACTCACCCGTGTCAGACACTAGAAGCTTGCTGGCCACTCGCTTAGCAGCGTGAACCCCCCCCCTTACATGTGGTATCTGGTGAAAATCGCGTTCAAAGGGGCAAACTTTGCAAAATGCTGAACTAGATAACCTTGAGGCCTCTTTTAGCTCTAAGCTCTTTTTCTAGCATTCTTTAAATATTTATGTAATTAAAGACTTGCTATTTTGTTATGATTGGGTACTGTTGGGACAGCAGTCCTATAAATATAGCGAACTGTTGTAGAAAATGAGAATTTGACTTTCTCATATTATTGGAAGTGCACAGGAGGGCGTGCTCCAATCACAGTGCAGATGGGCTCAGCAGCAGCCTGGTTCTTCCTTTCTCTCTGCTCTGCCGTCCTCTGTCTCAGTTTTATATTCAAGCCACTGTGTGTCAAAGTCGAGAGAGAGATAGATGCCAATGGCAATTGAGGCCACAAGTTTCCTAGTAAGAGAGGACACACACCACACACATACATACAGAGAGAGATGGAGACTTTCGCTCCAGCCATTGCATTCATTCTGATTGGGCCAGTTTAAGTCACGTGCCCATCTGCGGACCAACTGCAGTGACTTCCTTCTGGTGTGCTCTGTTTCACAACAGCCAAAAAGCAAATGAACCGAGCAAACAGGCGGATGAGCATTTCCGGTGAAGGGCTCCTGTTACCTTTCTCTAACCCTCCGCACATTGGATGGGATCAGCGTGGGGGTTTCCCATCGACCTTTCACAGGGAAACATGTTTCAGTGACGTTTTGGACAAGCACTCTGCTCAACGAATCATTTCTACCATTTCTTTTTATATAGGGGTTCTAGTTTCAAAACCAAATGTCATCTCCCAGCAAGAGCAAGGACTAGAATTTCGGGGTCCAAGTCTTAAAAGTGCTGGAAAAAGGAACACTGCGGATTGTGGCCTGGTTAGTGAGCGGATAAAAGCAGCTCCAGCATTGGCCTGGAGGGACTCGAAGGCCTGGGAAGAACAGTGCCAGTGGGACGTGGAGGACTCGAAGGTGTCAGGCGTGCACTGGGGCTACGAGGAGACCAAGACCTTCCTGGCAATTTTGAGTGAGTCCCCTTTCTCGGAAAAGCTCCGGACTTGTCACCAGAACCGCCAGGTGTACCGGGCCATTGCAGAGCGGCTGAGGGCACGGGGCTTCCTGCGGACACTGGAGCAGTGTCGCTACAGGGTCAAAAACCTCCTGCGGAATTACCGGAAAGCCAAGAGCAGCCACCCACCGGGGACCTGCCCCTTCTACGAGGAGCTGGAGGCCCTGGTGAGGGCGCGGACAGCCATCAGAGCCACAGACGGCCCAGGCAAGGCTGCGGCCCTCCCCAGGCTGGGGGATAGTGATGCAGAGATGGAGGAGCAAGAGGAAGGGAGCTGGGAGCCAGAGGAAGCAGCAGAGGACTGTAACGGTGATGACCTGGCCATTGATGAGTCCGTCCCGGGGCCCAGGGTTCCGGGGGGTCCGGCTCTGTTCCAGAGTCGTATTGGTAAGAACACAGGCATTTAATCAGGTCCAGATTCCAACCCTCCTACCAGCCAGGCCTCCGCTCCCTGAGCCCAGGGCACAGAAGTCTGGACTGATGCTGCTGGAGTGAGGCGCTGAGTTCCTTCAGTCACCCGCAGACTTCTGCTCTCTTCTGTGACCAGCTCTCAGCTTCCTGAGCTATAGACACAGCCCTTTTTAAAGTCCTGAGGGACCTTAGCTAATTTGGTGTTTCTCAAAGTGCATATGAGGATGATTGTAGGTGTTGCATAAGGAAACCTTTAATGTGTACAAGCACATCAGCCATGATTTCACAAGTTGTCACAGGTCGTCAGGTTAGTTGAAGAAAGTACTGAGTGAAATACTCAGCAGAGCAGAGGTCATGGCAGCGCGTAGCCGAGCAGTCAGTGTTTGGGACGTGCCCGAGCCACCGTCAGCGCGGGAGCACTGCAGCCTGAGAGGTGGGGCGTCTTAGCTCAAGGTCGAAGGGAGGCAGGGCTGTCGGGTAGAGGCTGGGCTCTGGCTTCCTTCTCTGCGGTTTTCCGTCCAGCTGCCTCCCTGGCTGCATCACGTACCTGCAGAGGAACTGAGAACAGGCCTCTTGCTTTTATTCGCCGCTTTCTTTTCTTCCTCCCACAGAGGAGGCGCATCCTCAGATGGACTTTTTTTTTTTAAGATTTTATTCATTTATCTTTAGAGGGGAAGGGAAGGAGAGAGGAAGAGAAATATCGATGTTTGGTTGCCTCTCGTGTCTCCCCTGCTGGGGGCTGGCCTGCAAGGCATGTGCCCTGACTGGGAATCGAACTGTGTTCGTCTGGTTCGCAGGCCCGTGCTCAACCCACTGAGCTACACCAGCCAGGGCTCTCAGTTGGACTCTTAATGTGATTATTTGAACTTCATGTCTTGAGGGATTCTCAGTTCCCATATTTGTTACAAGGAAAGTTCATGGATATAAGTTGAGCATGTGTATTGAATGGATAGAGAGAGTCTCTTGTATCCCAGTTGCAGGCCTTTCCCTGAACCAGTCAGCTGAAGCCAGGGGAGTGTAGTCACCTGCTGTAATGTGGACATGTAAGTCCTTCCCTTTAGCCAAGACTCGTAGAATCTCTTTGAAGGAGTGGGGCTTGGAGAGCTCTGGCAGAGCCCTGAGAGGCCAGGGTAGGTTCTTTGTTGGTGCCCCAGGTACCCAGACAATGTCTGAGGTGCCCGTGTTCTAGGCATTTAACAGGCAGGTGACCCCGATCCCTGATGACCCAGGCAAGTCTCTTTAAGTCTCACAGTTCTGAACTTCACTCCTGACAGCAGGTGTGCACTGGGGCTACGAGGAAACCAAGGCCTTCCTGACCATCCTCAGTGAGTCCCCATTTCCCGAAAAGCTTCGCACCTGTCACCAGAACAGCCAGGTGTACCGGGCCATTGCAGAGCGGCTGTGTGCACAGGGCTTCCTGCGGACACTGGAGCAGTGTCGCTACAGGTTCAAAAACCTCCTTCGAAGCTACCGGAAAGCCAAGAGCAGCCACCCACCGGGGACCTGCCCCTTCTATGAGGAGCTGGACTCACTGGTGAGGGCACGGACTGCGGTCAGAGCCGTGGGAACCGTCAGGGAGGCAGCGGGCCTCCCTGCGTCTGGGCGGAGCAGTACAGAGGCTGCTGATCTGGAGGCCTGGGGTGAGGTGGCAGGTGAAGATGCCGGCAAACCTCCAACCCCGCGTCCGAGAACCCCAGACATCGGTAAGCATGGAGTGTTGGGATGTCCACAAAATCTGCAAGCACACCGACAGTGAGGGAGCAGGCTCTTATCTTGTCTCTGGACTAAACCAGAAAGGAAAGGAACAGGAAAAGTGTTTGTGCTTTGCTCAGACTGTGTCTGGCATAGTGTAGTCCCTAAATGGTACAAGCAGTCAGATCTGGGTTCTGCTGGGATTTGTTTGTGCAGTTACAGAGTTTATTCAGTCTCACCTGCCATAGGACGTACTGACTCCCAGAAGGAGGAGGTGTACGCAGCGGGATGAGGGCAAATACAAGATGCAAATTCATGGTAGCCAAATTTGTAAGGCACAAGATACAGATACATAAATAATTTGACACTGACTAATGAATGAAAAACTACATTTCTGTTCGCTCTTTCAGGTTTTGAGATGAGGCATGAGGACGACGACCAGAGTTCAGAGCAAGACATTTTTGAGGATTTGCCTGGTACGTTATCAACACGTGCTACAGAGGTGGCCCGCCCCCCTGCCCGTTTGGGGGAGGACAGCGAGAGTGAAGACGGAGGGGAAGAGCAGTCGGGAAGTCAGCCACGGGACCAGCAGGAAGAGGGTTCCTCTGAAGATGACTTAGAAAGGCTTATTGACCACCAAGGCCTGTACCTTGCAGAGAAACCCCACCAGTGCAACCCACGCATGAGGTGCTGCAGTCAGCCCACCCCCTTCATCGCCCGCCAGCGGACACATGTAGGCGAGGGGCCCTGCCAGTGCCTCCAGTGTGAGAAGGGCTTCAGGGACCCCTCTGACCTCCACACCCACCAGACAATTCACGCTGGAGAGAAGCCCTACAGATGCCTCGGGAGTGGGAAGAGCTGCAGTGACCCCTCCAGTCTTGCAGCTCAGCAGACAGTCCACACAGGGGGAGACCCCTGTGTGTGTGGGGCGTGCTGGGAAAGCTTTGGCTGGAGCACAGACCTTCTGCAACGTCAGAGAGCCCACGTGGGCGGAAGTCCTCACTGCCCTAGTGAGCCTGGTGAGAACTTCTGCCGGAGTAGGCCCTTTGGCGCTCCCTGGAGGAACCTGGCGGAGGAGACAGCCCCGGAACAACCTCCAAGTGCCAGGAAGAACTTGAACTCCCCTGCACTGCGCAGCGCCAACTCAGGGGAGAAACTCTATCAGTGTTGTGAATGCGGAAGAACCTTCTCCAAGAGCTCTGCCCTCATCAGTCACCAAAGGATCCACACGGGGGAGAGACCATATGAGTGTGCGGAGTGTGGGAAAAGCTTCAGCAAGAGCTCCACGTTGGCCAACCACCAGCGAACCCACACCGGGGAGAAGCCCTACCAGTGCTCGGACTGCGGCAAGTGCTTCGGCGAGCGCTCTAAGCTCATCACGCACCAGAGAGTGCACACGGGGGAGAAGCCCTACAAGTGCCTCGAGTGTGGGAAGTTCTTCCGTGACCGTTCCAATCTCATTACTCACCAGAGGATTCACACGGGGGAGAAGCCTTACAGGTGCAGAGAGTGCGGGAAATGCTTCAACCAGAGCTCCAGTCTTATTATCCACCAGAGGATCCACACCGGGGAGAAGCCCTACAAGTGTCTGGAGTGCGGCAAAGACTTCAACAACAGCTCGCACTTCAGTGCCCACCGGAGAACCCACACAGGGGGGAAGGTGGCGTAGGAGACAGCGCCCCCCATGGCAGAGGAGAGAAATGTGTACTTGAATCTCCCAAGGTTTTGAGATGTAGGGTAGAAAGAGACATGCCCAGTTCCTAAGCTTTGTGTGTACCCAGGGGCGTTACCTTGGTATGAGCCAGGTTATTCGGAAGTGAATTACAAATGCTAAGGATCCAGACTTGAAGGCACTTTTCTTAAGTGTGATTTGTTTTTCTCCTGTTAAAAATCTACACTCAGTCCTCAGGCCGTCCTCACGTTTGTTGCTACAAGGGTTTTATCCGCGTTTGAGCCAAACCGACCCCGTAGGGGTCAGAGGCAGTTCAGTGGTGCTGAGCGGTGATTCCAAACCTCCCTGTGCCTCCGCTCCGTCCACGCGCATGCGCGGCCCATCAGCACGCGCGGCACGCGCAGCCCGCGGCCGGCGCACGGTCTCCTGCCTGGCGGTGTTTGGTGCGGTGTGTCCCCCCGAGGAGAGCGGGACTATGGTGAGAGCGGGGCATAACGGAGAATCCGGACTGGGGGGGCCGCGGTGGGCGCAGCAGAACATAGGAGCCACAGTTACGTGCTGCTCACATTACTGAGTCGCTGTTCACAACAGGGAAATGGCCGGTACTTCCTGAGCGTCTGCTGTTCAGCAGGCTCTGTGCTGAGCACGTGACAGACTCGGTCTCAATCCTCACAACAGCCCTGGGAGGGAGCTGCTCCTAGTCTCCCCATTGCCCACGAGAGAAAAGCTAGGCTCGGGAAGCGTGGGTGACTTGCTTGGGTCACATGTCCGAAGACGGCGGAGGCAGGACTCGGCCAGCTCTGCCTGTCCGGAGCCTGAGGCTCCCGCCATCCGCAGTGAATCCCCTCCGGCCTTAGGGCAGGTGACTCGGGAGCCAGGATCCCAAGGTGCTTTGTAGACTATGTCCTGTTAAAACTCCTGTATGATTCTAAAGATTAAAGGGCTTGGGATATTCAGAACTGGCAGTGTGTTTTGAGCAAGGATGTTTACTGAAGCGCTTGATGCGAATTTCTGTCATTACTGTCAGGTGGGTGAGAGGTGCAGGTGGGTGGAGACTGGAAACTGGCAGCCCAAGTAGCCCCTCCTCCGATGAGAGACTGTTTGGGCTGGGAGCCGGGTTAAGAACTCCCCTTTTCTCGGGGAGTGGGTCCTGCCTCTCCTTACCTCTGGGTGAGTTGCTAAGGTGATCCTCCCAGAGACACGGCCTTCCTCACCCTTGCTCACTGGTCCCTGTGTCATTGTCTCCCAGGCCCTTTTGTTTCTGGCTGCCAGGCCTGCCGGAGGCGGGAGGGAGGTGGGAGCAGTGGGTACCGCCCTTCCCAGGCCTACCCTGTGCTTTCGGGATGTTGGCCGCTAGGGCCAGCCTGCCAGGCGGACAGGTCAAACCTGAAAGGTGCACTCACACAGGACGGTTTTCTGCTTTGCAGCATTTCGGCCTCGGGTTTCTCCTTGGGGGGTTTAGGTGTGTGGACCGAGGACTTTGGTTTCCACTGGATTTTAAAGGAAAGTCCTTCTGACATCCGCCTGTGACATGGGTGCCGTTCATGCCCTGGCTATCTCATGGACTTGGGAAGGACCCATCCCACAGTGGGCGTGATGGAGCCTCCACGAGGGGACTTTCTGTTCACATTGGAGGAAGTCATTGGAGAGACTCGCTCTCCCGTTCTGTGGAGGTCCCTTCTCTGCCCCGTCCTTGGTGTCTCGGGAGTCGGGTAGCCCGGGACCACGGTCCGTCGGCCCCTTCCCAGCCTACCTTTCTCGGCTCACACTGTCTCTGAGGATGGGGAGGTGGGCGAGCCCTGGATCAGAACCAGCAGATGTCAGAAGCCGCAGTGATAGCGCCAAACAGAGAGCCAGCCGAGTGAGCTAAAAGGAAGGTCCTGAAGGAGGGGGCGGGCCTTGTAGGGAAAGCACAGTGGTGTGAAGTGACAGGATTCAAGGCGAGGGTGGGGACCGCAGTTCCTAGCACTGCTGGGTGTCGATGGGAGGAGGGGGGAGCTGAGGTGGAGGGGGTGCTGGGTCAGGGTCCTGGAGGAGTTCCTGTCTGAGTGGAGCTTGGACCCCAGGCTGAGGGCAGTGTGGTCAGAGTGACGTCAGAACCTGACAGCTGAAGGGACTGGGTGTGCTGCAGCCAGGACGCTCTGTAGGGACAGCAGTGAGATGACATTCCAGTTGTGGGGAGGTCTGGACTAGGGAGGGGCTGGGTGTGAGAGGGGATGGGTTCCAGGGGTTCCCGAGGCAGAGCTGACAGCAGAGGGACGCTAGAAGGCCTCGGTGACAGCGTACAGCATGACATTCAGAGCTGGGAACATGAGGAGGGGAGAGAGATGGGCAGGAGAGGGTAAGTCTGGTTTGTGGCATTTTGAACTTGGGGGTGTAACATACCCCAACGCGAGCAAATGTCGGAAGCCTTCAGGAGTTTAAGATGGAACTTTATTGGCCAAAGTTTCAAAGTTTTACCTGCGCAGGGGCGAGCTCTCGGGGCGTCTCCGGAGACACGGTGCCAAAATGGCTGCAGATGAGAGTCGCGCCTGGCGCTTACAGCCTGGGGTTTTTATTGGGGTGAGCAAACAAGCAAGCAAGCAGCAAATACAGAAGCAGACATAGCTGTTAGCAATTGGCTATTTTGAGAGGACACACACACATCTCTGCTTACTACAATGGATACTTTTCTGCAAAGACAAGGCAATGCAAAGACAAGGTCATACACGGGCGGGTCGTACTTTTTTTTACTTTTCTATCTCCCTTGCTGAGACAGTCTGGTGCCTGCCTCGTCCTCCCTGCTAATTTTATCTAATTCCGGCCTAACCTAACCCTAACCTAACCTAACGGGCCCGGGGGACACCCGTGCAGCAGTGTGTGGTTGGCCTTGGTTTATCTGGGCCTGAAGCCGGGGGGACGATAGGAGTTACCTGGTCCAAGCGGTGGTCAGACTTGTGAAAAAGGGAGTGGGCTCGCTCACCAAAACGGGGTGCGGGGCCGGGACAGAATTTGGGAAGCACCAGGTGGAGAGGAAGACGCCCCCCAGGAGATGCAGAGCGCGCTTCCCTGCTGCCTCCTCCTGCGCACCCCTGTCGCCTCCTGGACCCCTCTTCCATCGCTGCCCATGCCCCAGTTCTCAGGGTATCCCCATGTCCCCGGAGCCCTCACTGTGGAGGCCGCATGGAGCTCTGTGGGGGAGAAGAGGGCCGCCCTGCCCCTCGGCTGTCGCTGTCCCCCTGCCTTGGGAGTGTGCCCAGATTCCGGGGAACGGTTTTGATGTTTCTCACCTATCTCTTAATTGTGGGTTCAGCTGTGAAAGCGAGGGCAGCGTGGGCCCTGCCTCCCTGCGTACCTGCTGCCTTAGGAAGGGGTCTCTCCGGTGGCTTCCGGGTTCGGGACCCGTCCCTTTGCCAGGGCCCCCAGACATCCTCCAGCAGGCCTCTGCTGCTCGAATAAACTGGTTTCTGGTTTAGCACGTCCTGAGCTTGTTAACGTGCGTCTGCTCTTGGGACGTGGACTCCAGATGCAGAGTGTGTGGGCACTTTTCTCGGCCTGCATGGCCACAGGCCAGACCTGGTCATGGCAGAGCGTGGCGGTGACCGCTGCCCCAGGAGGGTGTGCCCTGGGCGCACATCCCCTTACTCAGCTTTGGCCCTGCACCCCGAGATGGACGTTGGCACCTCTGAAGGCAGGGAGAGGTGCTTTAGATGGATGTCCAGTTTTTCTGCGGCTGTGGCCCCAGGTGCTGGGCTCATGGTCGTGGCTGCCTCAGCCTCAGTGTCTCCCATGTCCCCCTGCGTGAAGGCACGCAAGGCAACCGGGGTCCCTCCATGCTGGGAAACAGCAGTCTGGGTCCCTGGGTTCCCTCTGCCCCATTCTGTTCTGGGGCCCCTGCCCGCCCCCCACTACCAATGGGAATAGCTCTCCACCTTCAGGCCTCAGAAAAGTTTAGTCACTTTGTGGAGAGCGTCTCCCCTTGGTGACAGGGACACAGAGCTCCTGGAGTCCTGAAGGCAGCGGTGGCCAGAGGGGCTGTGGTGTTGGGGGTGGCCTCACGCAACCCAGGCTGCCCGGCATCTGCTCCAGACTTCCGCCCCAGCCCCGCTTCTCCATCACTCCATCCACTCCGTTCCCTGTGTGTCCCTACCGCTGTGCGGATGCCGACGACCTCCAGACCCGTCTCCCGCCCTGGGCACCCCAGTTAGGAGCCTGGTTGCCTGTCGGCCAGCCCTGCTTAGGTGACTCCCGGGCCCCTCCAGGCGCATGGTCACCTGCTGCCATCGTCAGCCAACGTCCAGCATGTTTACACGCACACTCGGGAACTCACAAACATTCCTCACACAGCCCAGGGAGCCTTGTACATCCAGACCCGTCTCAGACCCTGTCCCCTGTCCCTCAGACACAGTGCTCCCTCCTAAGGGCACTTTCCAGTCAGGCTGCAGCTGTCCAGCTGCCCAGCTGCCCAGGAAAGGCTGCTTCTGAATGGACCGGCACCCACAGGCAGGCTTAGTCCTGTGAAACTCCCGCTTACCTCATTTTTGACTCCATCCTCTGTGTACCTCCCTGAGTCCCCTTCCAGTAGCAAACGCCAGTCTTGAAGCGCCTGCTACAGTCTGCTGCTGGGGGTCGGCGCTGCGTTTGGTGGGTGGCCAGGGAAGCTTGGCGGGGGAGGTGGGGTTCCATCTGGGCCCCGGACCCTGGGGTGACTGACAGTCTCCCCCACAGCTCCCCGCTGTTTCCACCCTGCATCCCCTGTATCACCACTAGCGTGCCCATGGCAGCACCCCCCCCCACCCCCCTGCTCTGATCTTAGGCAAATCTGGAGTTACCTTCAAATGCACATTCTGGGTGTGGGGGTGTCCAACCTTTTGCCGTCTCGGCTACACTGGAAGATGGCGAGCTGTCTTGGGCCACACATTAAGTACATTGCGACATGTAATCACAAAAAAAATCTCATAATGTTTTAAGTAAATTTATGACTTGTGTTGGGCCGCGTTCACAGCCACTCTAGCCTGCATGCAGCCCGCAGCCCGCAGGTTGGGCCCTACCAGGTGCAGAGACACGTGCTTCCTCACCCGATCCCTCCCACCACCCTGCGCGCAGGCCAAGTGGTGATCCCTCATTTCCTTCTGGTGCATCTTCCACCTGGTCCGGGTCAGGAGCTCAAAGGAGCCTGCGCCCCCGTGACCCCGTCCTGTGCTGCTTGGGGGAGCAGGCAGAGAGTTTAAGAGGCCCCCTCCTCTGTGCCGTCAGT